CGTTCACTGCTGTCGTACGAACACTCCCAGGTGGCTTCCCTTCCTAACGTTATCACGCACGGTGCCCAGATTGAAGGTGACGCAACAATGCACAGATCACGTAGCCCACACACACGAACAAGCAAGGTGCGTGGGTTTCTCCACAAACAGAACCAAATGCCCGCCAGGGATTAAGACTAAAAGAAAGTCGAGCAATGCGGCGGTGCAGAATATTTTGCAAGGGCCTTGCAGCGACTGGGAGAGAGCTCACGCCTGAGGGCCGCTGGCCAACTGGCGCAGGCGGCCACCCCTCCACCCCCCCCCCCCAGACAACAAAAGCAGGCAGAGGGGACAATGAGCAGAGTGATGGCCAACTCGCACAAAGACACTGGAAACAATGGGCAACGTTAAACAGCTCTCACTCACGACATCTGTGTCCTACAGGAGTTGTCAGCCATCTTCCACCATTCTACCCTCGGCAGATGTACCAAGCCTGGTACCACCATGCTGACATCACAAATATATGATCCATGGTAACTCTTGTTATACATACAGTGTATACACAGGTGCACATGTACACTTTACTTGGGGAGGAGAGAAGCATCGGTTCATTGTAATTGAGTTCTTAGTGCACTTAGAATCAATTACTTTATTTCATATATGCTGTATGTAATGGCTTCACGGCACACCTGCAGCCAGTAGAGGCACTAGAGTTTTCACTGCGATGTTAAAAAAGAAAATGTTCTTTAAATCGAATCGCGACCCCAGATTGTGGCGATTATATAAATCACGGGAAGACGAATAATTGCACCCATAATCCACCATCAGTTATTGCACTGACTGCACCAAATAGATACAACTATTGTTGTCAGCATTATACAAATCTTACAATTTCAGTTCTAGCCAGTAGCACTGTACTACCGCTTACTTCATATCAACCCTTTCACATGGACACACCGAAACAGACCACAGCCACGTGGGGGCCCGCTGGTCTCTCCTCCCCAGGACGAAGATCAGTGCCACGGCAAGCGGCACAAACATCACTTCCAAAAACAGACTGAGCCGACAGCCAGAGGTATAAAAAGCTCTGCGGTCCAACAGGAAGTTTTTGGGTCTGCAGAGTGGCGTATTCATGACAGTCGTAAGTCTGTCACGAATGTACATCAGCTAGTCTACATCCGCTATTGTGCTACCGCAGAACATTTCCACGTCTTCTTTACGAAGGAGTAAATGCGATTCAAAACAAATGTGTTGTCCAGGCCCTCCACCAACTGACACGGCCAAACAAACTGAATTGTCATACAGCGTAAGAATATTTAACCAAGTGCCAATTATTATTGTTTCGGCAGACCGGTGAGTTGAAGAACAGTTCCCAACCAAATTTCGCAATTACATTTGAAACTACGTCAAACCTCATCAGGACAAGACCTAAAAAGTCAGAATAAAAATCCAGGATGTCAGAATAACCGTGTCTCCTAACTGGCTTTTTAAATAGTTGGCATGACCTCACATGAATAACCAATCAGATTTATTAAACATATTGGCTGTAAAACATGTAAACATTTAGAACATTGGGCATGCTCAAATAATCGAGTCCACCATGTGACATTTTAAAATTAGACCTTGGGAGTTTCTGTAAATGGATACACAGTACTGTAGTTCTGTACGACTGCAGTAAAGGCAACACCAACGCAAACTACAAACATCAAGCCTGAGGGTTATCTGTGTTAAAGCATAAGCAGTGACTAATCCTATGGCAGCAGTGCACGATACTAGAAAGACGTTTATCAGCGAGCGTTTGTTCATTTACAAAATGTTTTCCATTTGCTCTCTGATTAGCATCCACATTAGCTCTACAATACAGTTCGCTATTGCAAGCTATTAAGAGGTCCTGCATTTCCGCGTATGCCCGAGAGGCGCTTGAGACCTTTATAACTTTAATTCAAAAGATGTTTGTGATCTAAACATACCTCCAGGCTGTACACATATTTGCCAACTTCTCTCCTGACAAACGATAGAATACAAAACCCTCTTTCAGCTTTCAGATGGAACTGGCCAAACAGCCCAAGGCAGGAGCCCTTCTGGGAAAGTCTTGAGACCCCAGCAAAGGCTTTCCCGGGTAAATACATTCCATTTTTATTTACAATGTCATTAAGCTATTTAAACATGAAATTAAGCTAACATCTGCTCCAGCCAGAGTCCCTTAAAATGCATGCAAGCAAAAACAAAATGTCACGCAGTGCATACTATGAATAAAGACTTATGTCGCTTGATATTGTGGGACAAAACGCTCAACACTTTACATGCCCACCAACGCACAGGCACACAGCTTGCATGCAAGCAGTCACATTAAAAACTGCACGTCTGTCAAGCACAAGTTCCGTGGCCCAAGGGAAACCGCTACACGCTAAGAATATTGAAGTCGAGTAGACGGCGACACCGACGGTGATGTGTGTACCAGATGCATCCGTTAAAACCCTGTAGTATAATACTGCTTAATACGATACTTGGCATCTTGCTATTCTCAAAATTTGTTTTCTATTTTCATGCAAAATATTAAACAGCTGCACGTTTTACTTTCCAAGGATGTCAATCGGTCAAGACTGTTGTTATGGGCATAACCAAAATTGGTGTTTTTCATTTGAAAATGTTTTCGAATTTGTTACTGGTTTTTGACAACAACCGGACCGTCATATATAAATATGAAAGGCCTCCACAATGACTGTAAAAGTGAAAGATTTGGGGAATTTTCTTTCCTATTTGGTCATTCTAAATCATCAATAATGGCCTCTCTTTCTCAGTATGCGTAAAAATCCCCAGCGAAATATACTGTGGTTTCAAAACCACTTCCACAATGAGCAGTGCAAATAATGTCTACTATGAACTTAAACATCTCTCAATTCTCCCTGTGCATCCAGAATATTTCCTTTACACTTTACTCAGTACAAACAATGCTGTTGTTTACTGGATGACAACATACTGAAAACTCAATATAATTCTGAAGGTTTTATTTCTTCAAATAAACCTATGCATTTCAGACAGTCAAGCTAGGAGATGATCTAAATGTTCATGCTCTCCTCAACCAAGGCTTCCTGATGGTGACATCCACGTCGTCCAACGTCACGGATGCAGTGCAGGGCATCCCCATGGCAAAATCAGAACGATGATGTAGTGACATCATGAACGGATTGAGTCCACCCGTGATGCCTGCGCAGCATCACGTGCGCGATGTGTGGCACGTCACACCACGCAGCGGGGGAAACTCCCGTCTGGCAACACTTTTTGGCACGCAGGAAGATTTTTCAGGTTCAATTCAGGTCTTCTGGATTCTCCAGAGAACGGCGGTAAGGATCCTTTCTGCATCTGTTTTTTCTTAAGCATCGCTTACCAACCACTAGATCGCGTTCACCGCTTGTTGCAGAGGTCTGGAGATCGAATTCAGGAGGCCACCCTGGTTATTATAGGTCAAAATAACCATGAAATACGCACTGCCGGCATAACAGTGGACGTTAAAGATCACCTGACGTGATTCAAAACGAGTAGGCCATTGTGTGCCGGTGTCAATTTGAAAATGTACCCGCAAATCACAAAATGTCGAGTACACACAGGCGCATAGCCCCTTATTGTGAAGCTACTGCAGAAAATGTGAAACATAGCATCATTGTGATAGCCTTGCGCTATGAGACTGGATGCAAATACCAAATGTACCAACTTACGATTAACGTCGCACGTTGACATGTGACAACACAAACACCCACGCGCCCGCGGGTGTTGCCCCCTTTGGATTGACCTGGGGTCAATTACATTTGCAATAAGCGAGCTAAAATGACAATTAAATAGTGACGGTAATGCATTACGAATGACATAATTACATTTTAATTGACACTGGCCATCTTGGTCCATATTTCTGAATGTCACCTCCCCTGTAATAACGTGGGCACGCAACCATATGAGCGAACCTCCAATGCCACACGACAAATGTCAACCGTTGCGCCCAGGCAGAGGCCGCTTACATGAGAATCCATAGGGGTCTCTACATAACGAGGACCATCACGAACCTCCTCACTCCCATGAAGAGCAAAAGTGCGTACTGTCGGAGAGCTGTGCCTCATATGTACAGCGCGTTTATTTCCCGAAATGTTTACGCGGACTTACGACTTTCAATATACACAATTTTATTTATAGCTCGCTTTGGACTATTTTTAATCATCTCAATAATGTTGTTATGTAACGGGGTTAGAGGTGAATAGTGCGCTGCGATGTCTATGGATTGGTGGGAAGGGGAGGTGGGATGGACTCCGCATTCAGAGGCAAGAGAAGCCAAAAGTGGGAGAACTGTCAACATTATGCACATTTAAAGGTTGTTTGCAAAATCTCAACAAAAACGTGGTTTAAAAATAGCGAACTTATTTCGAGATTAAACACGCAACACTCCTCTGTGCTATCATTTTCACATTGGCAACCTAATCACCGACATGTGAGCAATAACACACCTCATGCTGTGGTGCACACACACACAACACTCACTGCACACACTCTGCTCCCAGCATAGCTCCTGTGCGAAGCCCACAGGGTGATTGGGGGAGGGGGCATGGAACAGCGGACACGTGAGCAAGGCCCCTCCACAGCTGACACGGCGATCCCAAATCGGTGTCCAGGCGCAATGTACATAGCGGTCCTGAAGGACAGAGTTCCCTTGCAGGTTCAGTTCTTTTTTTACTTAGCTTTAAGACCAACGTGCTTAACAGTTTGACAGACGCGATTATGTCTGGGTTAATTCATTTATCCTGCCGTGTATGTGGTTGCGCGTCGTGCTACACTACACAACGCTGGATACGGCGGTAGGTTCTGTCGACAGCACGTACCGCCGTATCCAGCAACATTCAGCAGCATGCAAAAAATATCAAACCTCAATGCAGCAAGGACACTTTGATTGGTGCAGCTGGTCAGTGGGCCCTGCTCACGCGTGCACAGTCACGCACAGAGCCAGCTCAGGCTCACAGACAAATCCACCCACTCACCTGTTTTTCTCCAGCTCGTTGTGAGTGGATCTGAAACACAGGGGAACATTCACCGGTAAACACGACTGGATTTATTGCTTTGACAGTCGAGGTGAGCTTGCCATCGCTATTACACGTCGTAACGGTTGCCTGGTTTGGTGTGTTTAGGCCACGCCGCTCTAAAGTTATGTCGAGGTCACCCTCAACAACAACACAGCAGTCGTGGCATATACAGTGTCATCATAACGCAACTAATAACAGCACGACAATCAACCCAGCTATCACAGCAAATGTTTAACACTGTAATTACCGCACAGAGTGAACACAATACAGTGCCGGTCATCAAAACAGAACCATCACGGCTCTCGCAACCAAGTAGCCGGGGCGCAGTCGTCACGATGCGGCCAACGCCACGCATTCATGACAACGCAAACAAGGCACGACAGCAGGGCCGACCGCAGCACAACGCGGACACCACCACCAGCACCACCACCACCAGCACCACCATCACCACCACCACCAGCACCACCACCACCACCAGCACCACCACCACCAGCACCACCATCACCAGCACCACCATCACCACCACCAGCACCACCACCAGCACCACCAGCACCACCACCACCAGAACCACCAGCACCACCACCAGCACCACCACGGTCCCCGCACGCGTCCCAGGCCGCCTTCACAACGCCGCCGTCCACGTGGCGGGGAGGCGCCCCGCAGTAAACTCCACGCCGCGGCGCACGCCTCTCACATTGAAATACAAGGAACCAAACTCAAGCGCGCGTCAGCTGCTCCAATACACCGCAGCTGCCCCCCACTCGGGGGAAGAGTGGTGGTGGGGGGGCTTCTGGGTACTTTACAGAGGGCGTAGGGGGGGGGGGGGCAGCCACAGTTGGAGGTCCCCATCTCTGAGTAGCACGGCTGACTACGTACGGTGCGAGAGAAGTTCAACACACATACGTGGGGGGGGCACTGGGCGAGAAGAGGCAACTCGAGTTGGGCACCCAGGAGGCAGCACCCACTGGAGGGGCGGGCACCCAGCAGGGGACCGAGAAGGGGGGTCCCACCCCAGGGGGGGTCCCACGGGGGGGTCCCACCCCCCCCAACCGGGGGGAGCAGGGCAGGCAGGGAGGCGCTCACGCACAGGGCCCCGGGCTATACTAAGATGGCGCGGGGAGAGTACCTGATGCTGGGCGCCTTCCTCGTCTTGAGCCTCTTCCTACTCGACTCTTCTTCCTCCTCCTCCTCCCGCCTCGACGGCGGCATGGACGCGTAGCCGTGCTCCGCTTCTGCGGGCACAGTGGCGGCGGCGCGGTGAGACCCCGGCCCGAGGGATACGCGCGGAGCGAGACGAGCAGGGTGGGGGGCGCGCACACCGAGACAACGGAGACCGCGCGACCCCAGCGCGACCCCAGCGCGACTGCGTGGAACGGACACAGACACCGTGGGGCGAGACGGGGAGACGAGGCGGTGGTCGCCGCGCTCACAGCTCTCCGTGACACAATTCGTACGCACGGAGCCCGACAAACGACAAAAGGAGAGTTGAGGGGGGGGGCCGAGAGCCATCGGCGACCATGACCGCAACGGCAGCAACAAGACGCGGGGGGGGGGGAGAGAAAGAACAACAATGGGGAACGGACCTCCTGCCAGCCAGGCACCACCACCCGAGCCCTCACCCCTGTCTTTTCTCTCCAGGTACTCGGCCGCGGCGAGCAGGATCTGAATGTTGTTGTTGTTGGTGGCGGCGGCGGCGAGCTCCATGACTGCTGAGGGGAGCGGCGGAGAGCCGTGGGGCGACGCGGGCGCCGCCGTTTTGTTTACCCCGAGCGCCGCCGCCGCTCGCCCAGCAACACGACCCGGCCCAGCCCAACGCCCCCCGCCCATTGGTCGGCGCTCGGAGCGGAAGTCACCTCCTATTGGTTGCCAACAGCCCAATCGCGTCAAACCGCGGCGATCAAGCCAATGGGAGGGGATGCAGCGCGCAGCCGCGCACACGTGGGGGCACGGGCACGCCAATCGGATACGCCCACCCGTCGGGACACGCCCTCCACCGGGCATGACCCCGCCTCCTGCACCCCCCCCTCACCCGCTAAAAGCCACACGCGCTGTGCCCTCCATGTATTGGCACGCCCATTTCGCGCGACCCCCCCCCCGTGTATGGGAATAGCTCCGCCTCATGAATACGCCCACCCAAAGTGGGCACGCCCCCCCGGGTAGACCACGCCCATGCACGTGCCGAAGGAGCCCTTTGGCCAAGACGAGGAGACCGCTGTTGGTAACAGAATCAGAATATTTATTTCGACTGCAGGAGGAATCCGATGAGCTATAAAGCTCTTTTTCACAACACGACCAGTAGGGGCGGATAATAATTTACAAACACAGGTATGATAGGAGTGCAAAGGTAAACAAATCAAACAAATCACCCAAACACAAATAAAACAACCATCCCCATCCTACCAGGCAAAGCCCACTGATGTATTAACTTATTTTTCGGGAAGCGATCTGGCCATAAATGATAGCTCAACAAAGTGGCCCATCATTTGGACATTTATAGCACTAAATAATCTTATCTCAGTGCATGGGTCAACCCAGCGAGTTATCATAACAATAATGAAACATGGTTTGGTGATTCTGCGGCGCTGGCAGCGGTACACAAGCAGAATCACATTTGACAATAACACTACTTTCGAGAAAAACTAGGCGACGTTTCGGGCAATGGCCCTATTTATAGCACATAAATGGTAAGAATGACAATTTCTATAGCGCCGTAACATGGCAAGCCATTCCAAGGGCGCTGAAAATTAAGGATGTACAGATTCATATATGCATTAATTTGTATAGTCTGACTAATACATGACATTTAATGACTGATAAAGGTGGTAGGGATAAAGGCGCAGCCCTGCAAGTGCTCGCTCACGGCATTGCTGGCGGAAGGACCTCCAGCGAGAAGATTCTTGGTCTCCTCTCCTCCGCTGGCCACACTTCTTAAAAGGGGTTGGAGTACCCCACATTGTAACCCACCAAACGGGACCTGATGATCGACTCGTCGTGTGGCACCCATTGATACTGCTGGGTGGAGGCTGGGGGTGGAATTTAAGAGAACCTGCAAATTGTTTTAACTGCCGCACCGGGAGATTGAATCGGCGACCGTTGCATTGCAAGTACAGTGTGAAACCCATTGCACTGGACTACGGCAGCGTCCCGTGTGTGGTCAGATCAGCGCTTAATTTTTTGCCGGAATGGAGCCGGGAAACACCAGTGATGATTATCTCTACCGGTCCTGGGCCTCCCATAGGTCGACTCAGCCTCAAATGAGTACCTGGTGTGAAAACATTACCACTGGGGAGACAAAGACGACCGGGCGTGGTGCTGGCCGCCCACCCCCTAGTGCGCCGTGCCGGCCTTCATAGGTGCTCGCTCACAGCACTTGTCCCAACAGTCTGCTAAAGGCTCTACGGGGAATCTTTGTCTTTGCACCGAGAGCCGCCGCCACTTGCGTCTCCTCCCGGCCACGCCTGCTGCTACGTGCGGCCACGCACGACGGACGCCCTCCCAGAGGCCCGAGGCAGAGAAAGTTCGGCCCAGTCATCGTTTCTGGGAGGAATCTGCACATCTCGGACCCCAAGCGCGGCGCGTGGGTCGACTGGCATCGACTCGCGCGGACCGCTTCCCCGTTGTGGAGCGTCCAGGGAGGGGCAACTTCTCAGCCCAGTGGGCAATTTATTATGAAAAGTCCTCCAATTCAGGAGACATCTCTCTGGTTGTAATCTCCAGCGAAACGTCGTACACAATTGTCAAAGGTATGCTTGCAGTTTCGACTTAACCGTTTTGCTGAAAAAAAAAAGAAATCAATTGGCACATTTGCCCACGTGACAACTTGAATTGTGCGGCTATCGGGTGATGAAGGTGCATAACGCTAATCGACGTTAAACTCACACGACAATCTAAGCAAAATACACAAATTATAAATCATGATATTGGTCGGTAAGGGTCTACGTATAAGAAAGGAACAAAATGCTGCTTAAATCGATTTGAAGATGATTGTTCCAGCAATCATAAAATGATGGTTGTGGAAATTGTATTCATGTCTCTGTATGCTTTCATCTTTAAGGCTCAGTGTCAAGCAAGCCGCACGTATTGTACGGTCATTACACGCCGCAGTGTTAACCAGGGCGGCCTGCCGGAATCGAAGCGCGAACCTCTGCAACAAGCGGCGACAGCGCTACCGCTGGGCCAGGCCACCGCTCCGTCAGGGCCAGGGGGAGACATCGGGGGGGGGGGCAGAGAGTTCAGAGGGGCAAATCCCAGAGACGCGGCAGAGAGACATCGGGCAGCAGGGACCTCGTAGTCGGCTAAAAGTTCAGAGAACGTCACGGAAGGGAGGAATGTGAAAAGTCACAACGCTGATGAAAGGCGGCATCGAAGGCGTGGGATATTATCGTCGAGATGTCGAAATAATGACGCTGGTGGGTGGCGGAGGAAGCGCTATGACGTGAATTCGAGTGGAATAGGGAAGCGTTGCTCCAGACCTGGGAAGGTGTCGCCACAACAGCGTGGCACCCACAAGGATTGACGGAGTGGGGTGGCCCTGGAGGCGTCTTCACGAGCAGTCCAGGTTTACATATTTAAATTATTGACTTGGAATATTGTACAATATCACAAAGAATGACCCAATAATCAAAGGTTAATTATCTGCATCATGCAAATACATGGGAGAGCTCAACCCGGGCGTTATGGACAGTCGAATAAGACTCGTTTGTTGCTGCTGCTGCTGCATTGAAGCAGTGCTTGATTGGACCTTACATGGGAGATTCCCTCTGCACTTTCAGAGCGTAGTGGGACCAGGCCTAGTTTGGCCACACTGAAGACAAGTACACATTTACACAGCTGTTAGATTTGGTAGCGTGCTATTAAATATATATTTTTTTTAAGTTATATCATCTACTGCGGCAAATAGGAGTCCTCCATCAGCGAATGACAAAAGCCTTCCGCAGATAGACCATCTACTGCGGCAAATAGGAGTCCTCCATCAGCGAATGACAAAAGCCTTCCGCAGATAGATGCTGGCCGCAGATAAGAGGAGTCGCAGATGAGAGGGTCGAGAAAGAGCGCAGCAACGAGTACTGTGTCACGTGTCGACTCGGAGTCTGCCGCGTGCCACGCGCGGCGCGTGAACTCCCTGCAGGATGCCACAGGGACCGTACTGCAGCCGCTGAGATATTGGGTCCACGGCAAGGCACTTGCATTTCCCATCATCTTGACCACACATCTACAATGTGTTGGGGATAACAGTAGAATGTGGATCGGCTGGCCTTTGAGATAAACGATTTAGAGATAAGCAGAGTTCTACTTGAATAGTTGTTTCTACTTTTTGCACACGTGAGAAATAGGTGAGTTAGAGACGGGAAGGATGGTGGAAGTGGATCTTTGGCGCCACAAACATTAACGAGTTAAACTCGACACAAGAGGAATATATCACAGGGCTTCTTAAAGCTGACGGGAGTCGGCACCTCATGAATGTCCATTGATTTGTGTCGGTGCTGGCAGTGAGTCGCAGCTGAAGTCCTGGTAGAGCTCTCAGCGAGAGAGGGCATCGCAGCTCATAGCCGACATCGCCACCCGTTGTGACAATCAGAACAATCCCATCTGTGATTTGCATGAACGACGTCACTATATAACATTACTCATTAACATTTTATTTTAACTACACGATATTTCACGGACATAACAGTCCTGTCAAACACAGCTGCCATGTTACCAAACGGTAAGATACATTCTGTGCTGTGTCACGATATCAATGGTGACGCGTAGCCTTCAGTGGCGTTGTTGTGCGACGGGACACGATGAACGGCTCCTGCAGGATCACGGGCTGTGCCAGGACACTGCGTGCAGGGTGCTGATGGTGCTGATGCTGGAGTGCGAGAGAGCGCCCGTGGTGGTGGTGCTGATGTCATTGGTGTCAGGACGGGTGGCTGCGTGGTCGTGTCACAGGGAAGGGTGACTGCACGCAGACCGGGGGGTGGGGGGTGTGTGCAGGGTGAGGCCACACCGCTCACCAACGCTCACCCCTCAAAAACACCTTTTTCAGTTTATTTATTTTGGTATAGCCCTGTGAGCCATTCGGTTCTTGAATCGGGTGCAACCACAACAAACAAAAAACAAAAACACGAACAAGAAAACATCTTAAAGTAACTATGTGACTGTGACTGTGCAAACAGAAAATCCAAGAAAAAAACAGCAAAATATTCCTGAAAAAAACACTTATAGTAAGTAACCTGCAGCGCTAACGGCCATTCACCACCATTCACCAGCACCACTGTTTAAACATGCTCACCATTCACCAGAACTGTGTAACATGCTCACCATGCACCAGCACTGTTTAAACATGCTCACCATGCACCAGCACTGTTTAAACATGCTCACCATTCACCAGAACTGTTTAAACATGCTCACCATGCACCAGCACTGTTTAAATATGCTCACCATTCACTAGAACTGTTTAAACATGCTCACCATTCACCAGAATTGTTTAAACATGCTCACCATGCACCATCACTGTTTAAACATGCTCACCATGCACCAGCACTGTTTAAACATGCTCACCATTCACCAGAACTGTTTAAACATGCTCACCATGCACCAGCACTGTTTAAATATGCTCACCATTCACTAGAACTGTTTAAACATGCTCACCATTCACCAGAATTGTTTAAACATGCTCACCATGCACCAGCACTGTTTAAATATGCTCACCATTCATTAGCACTGTTTAGACATGCTCACCATTCACTAGCACTTGCCACTCACTCACCATGCACACTGTTCAACACGCACCGCTCATAAACGCTCACCGACACTTTTAAGTACCAACTCACCACTC